CAGAAATAGGATCCGGAATCCTCGTCCTTGAGGCTGTTCATGGTCAGCGTCACCGAGCTCTGCCCGTTGTCCCTGGAGATCGTCACCCGGCCCTTCAACGATGGCGCGTAGTCGGTGGTGCCACCGCTGCTGATGTATGCAACGAATTCCAGCCCCTGCCCGGGTCTCTGGCAGATCCATTCCATGGCAAAACCCCCGAAATCGAACCCGGACCCTCGGCAGAGGAGGCGCAGGGACCCCCCGGGGAGCTGGAGGTCCCCCCCGGACTCCAGCAGGGTCACGGCTGCTCCCCAGTTCCCAAACCTTCACTGGTTTTGTCTCAAACTCCCCTGGTTTGGTAACAAATCTCCACCAGAGATGTCCAGTATCATAAAATGCCTTAAACCCTGCAATTAGCACCAATCCAGTCATTTATTTTTTGGACATGTCCTCTTGTCCTTTCCATCCCCCCATCCCCATCTCCCCTTTTTCCCGCAGGGCTCCGGGCGGCCGTGACCCTGCTGGAGTCCGGGGGGGACCTCCAGCCCCCCGGGGGGTCCCTGCGCCTCCTCTGCCGAGGGTCCGGCTTCAGTTTCGGCAGTTTCTCCATGTACTGGATCCGCCAGAGACCCGGGCAGGCGCTGGAGTGGCTCGCGGGGATCAGGTACGATGGTGCTTACACCTGGTACGCGCCATCGGTGAAGGGCCGGGTGACGATCTCCAGGGACAACGGGCAGAGCTCGGTGACGCTGACCATGAACAGCCTCAAGGACGAGGATTCCGGATCCTATTTCTGCGGGAAATGTGGTTTTGCTGGTTGCAATTACGAGGCTTATGGTGTTGATGTTGGTTTCAGGCCTGCCTCCCTTGATGGGTTCCCAAATGTCTCCAGTTCTCGGATCCTTCCTCCAAACTCGGTTCCTAAGCCTTTGTCCCGAGTCTCCCCCATCTGTCCCAACGTTGAGCCCCTCACCTCCTTCTGCCCAAAACTCAACCATTGTCCCCAAACCTTCACCTGTGGCCTCCAGTTCTGGCCTTGCTCCCCAAAATGCCCATTTTTGCCCCAAATCCAAGCCCGTTGCTGCAGTCCAGGGGTTGAACTGAGGCTCCTTTCCTCTGCCCCGGCCCACGGAGAAATCCCACCTGGAGATTTCCCACCGTGCCACAAATCCGAGGAAACTCACTGCCAAAACCGCCCAAAATCCGGAAAAATTGGCCAAGGCTCCGGCACAGCCCCAGGTCCAACATTTAACTGGTTCTCCCGGCACCGGCTCCGTGCCGGCTCAGCCAATCAGGGCCTGGGGAGCTGGGGGAGATCTGGGAGAAATGGGCAAAATTGGGGAAAGGTGAGAATTGGGACAGCCATGGCGGAGTTCGGGGGGAAATGGCTGAGATTTGGGGAAAATGGCTGAGATTTGGGGAAAAGGGCTGAGATTTGGGGAAAATGGCTGAGATTTGGGGAAAGGATCGCTGGGATTGGAAACATTCGGTGACCATCATGGGGGTGGGGCGGCTGCCGGCATGGTCAATAAAACCATAATCTGCTGCCCAATGTTTGTAACGTCTGGCGCAGAAATAGGATCCGGAATCC